CGTTAGTTGGGGAAAGCAAAGGCATCTGTAGAGCTCAAGAAATATCTGACCAATGGATCTCTAGGCCTAAAGAGTTTACTTTTGTTATAATCATTAAAGAGGATTGTCGATTTGTAAGTACATTTTTGGGACCTAATAAAAGGCTAACAATTTTATTGCCATTCTGAATCACAAAGAGTGTAATCTTTTAAAATGTTTTCTCTCTAAAAAGTACAAGTTATTTATTGTATCTTATTGACTATGTTTCACTGCTATGAAAACAGAAAAACCCCAAAACTTAAGGATCGTTCGTAAATGACGTCTCACTCCCAAAAGGAGGAAAATTTTGTGAGGATGTGTAATGAGGGGGAGGTGGGGGGGATGTTCAGATAGTGTGACGTCACACTAGAGTATTTAAAAATTGTAGTGTTAGAAACTGAATTTAAGTCGTTGTTTTTCATTGTAGAAATCTGTTTTAGTCAAGATAAGTCAATAATTTTAAAAAGAAATCGATAAAATAAAAATATAAATGAACTGCAATTTTGAGGGGTGAACGGGGGGGGGGGGGGGTTAGGCTGAGGAGTGACGTCATTTTTTTGGCGGCGGGGGGGGGGGGGGGTGTCTGTAGGGGAGGTAAAAAATTATCCCAAAAAAACCATGACATGATGCACCGATGACAACCCCCCCCCCCCCCACCCATGGCTATTGGGCTGAATTTTAAACTAGCCCATAACCCCGATTTTTAGCCCTGGTCCTAATCCTAATTGTTACAACGGAGATTTATAACAAAGCAAACATTTAACGATTCTATATTTTCTTACGGAGGTTTTTGATTTGGCAAGAAGGTGTCTAATCAGGTTCGCAAGATTTGTCATTAAAATCTCATGTCCTTCCTCCCAAATCAACATCACACACATTGTGATGACGTAAACACATACTACGATGACGTGAACACACAGATTAGCCTGCCGGGGTGACATACGTTAAATAAACAGACGTAAGCACCGCTCCAATCATACCCCCCCCCCCCCCCGATATTTACCAAGCCAGGTGACACATCAATCTCGACCAAATTGGCGACGCTTTATTTCAAGGGGACGCCACTCACATGAAAAATACAAACAAACCCTCTCCACCTTTCGGATCAATCACTGCCCTTGATAAGGGAAAGATAACCGCGCGCACAAAGTGAGACAAATCTCCACACTTGTGTGAGGCCGGCTCAGATTCTTATAAAACTCGTAGAAAGCCGTCTAAAGGGAGACTAAAAAAATACTTCTGAGAGATCATTTGTCGTTTGATTATGGCCCCGCTGATAAGGGGCGCAAACAGTCTCAGTGTTTCCTGGGGGGCAATTATCACCTTTGTAAAACTAACACATCGAATGGATCACATCGGTGATTTATTTTATCACCCGATAGAAAAATTCTTTGAATAACGATCTTTTATTTTTTAGCGCAATTTCCATACTGGCAATTGCGTTTAATAATGCGTCATTTCTGTATGGATGTATGTGTGGATGTGTGTCCGCAGCTTTAAGTCGTATCTCCTCCTCAACGAAGCAATATCGAGGACTAGTTCCAAAAGCAAATATGTTAAGCAAGTTCCGAGGATGATTTTAGGCCAATAAAATTCCCGGAATTCCTTCCTGGATTTCCCGGAAAAGCCAAAAAACCTCCAAAAAAATGCAGTTTTTGGCCCATATCTTGGCAACCAGACCACTTAGCGACTTGAAACATTCACCAATCGATTTCTGCCATAATTTAGAACAATATTGCCGAAGAAAGTTTTCAAAAATATCTTTTCGTTCGGTCACAAAAAATTAATTAAGAACACTTAAACTGAGCATCTTGTTTTGTTTTGGGTGTGAATAGGGACAGTGGAAGGTGACGGCGTTTGCGGTTGGTAGAGCTTTGACTGCCAACATGGAAGTCTCGAGTTCGAATTCCGGGTTCGAGTCAGTAGCACGTCCCTGAGTCTACCCAGCTCTAAGGAGTACCTGACTCACTTCAAGGAAAGTAAAGGCAGCTGGGCATAGTGCTGAACACACTATCCCTTCATATGCCCGTGGCCAAGAAACAGATGAGCTCTACTTCACCTGCCCTGTGGATCGTTAGGTCTAAAATGTGGAACTTTACAATAAGAAGACATGCCTTCTGTATCATAAGGTTACCTATTGAAATTCTGGTATGAACCAAATAAATAATAATAAATATATATAAATAAATAAAACAAATAACAAGAAGGACATTATAAAAAATTAAAAACATTTACTTGTGTGAAGGTCTTAATTTTAAATTAAAAAAAAACTGTTAACAACGTTTAAAGTAAAAGAAAGTTAGGATGATTACCTTTTAAGACCTCTAAGATGGTCTCCAGTTAATGAAATTACTGATTCTTTTAAGTACCTAATCACATATATTCTTGATTTGAAAAGTAAGAACTTTAGTCGCTTTTTTGACTACGCAAAAACATTACTAGTTAGTTTCAAAGTCTATTGCCCCTCCCCCCCCCCCGAACGAAATTAAATTTATATAGAAAATATATCATTTTAACAGTGCCCCCCCCCCCTTCCGGAAATTTTAGCAAGTCTGGAAGAAACACTGGTTAGTTTGACTACCTTAAAACTTTATTATTTATTACTTTGACAATTAAGAACGGTAGTTGTTACTTTGACCACTTGAAAATATTTTGTTTACTGTCATATCATGCTTGTATTAAAAAGTAAAGATCCATGGGCAGGTGACGTAAAGATCACCTGTTTCTGTGACACCGGTATATGAAGGGATAGTGTGGTCAGTTGCCTTTACTTTCCCTAACGTGAGTCAGGTACCCACTACAGCCGAGTGGATACAGCCACCTGATATAGAACGTGATGCAGACTCAAGACTTTTGGATTAGCAGTCGAGTGCTCTACGTCTACTACTCGGCCACCCCGTTTCCTTGTCTTCTAATATTATTATATTTCATTTTAAAGTTCCCTTTTAAACCTGACGGTCTACGGGGCAAGTGAAGTAGAGTTCACATGTTTCTGTGACCTCGGCATATGAAGAGATAGTGTCGTCAGCACTATGCCCAGCCGCCTTTACTTTCCCTAACGTGAGTTAGGTATTCATCAGAAGTTGGGTGGACTGATTGCTAATACTAGAGTGGAGCTCATACTTATGCGTCTAAACATGAACAATTAAAGCATTCATTTTCATACAATACATGCACATAAAAAAAAAAAGAAAACTGACAAATATTAAGATGACTGTTTAGTTTCTTCTACGTGAATTATAAACTGGATTTAAAAATTAAAAGAAGCTAATAATTTCTGTAGTCCTACCCCCATCCACCCCCCACACACTTCACCCTCATTCTAACAAAGGAAATACTAGAGGGATATTTATGTATTAAAAACAAACGAAACAGCCCACACGCAGATGATAATGAATTTTGACCACTGCTACACTCTGTAGTAGCGAAACTTAAGACGCTGGATCAGTCCATCTGTAGACCGAAGGGGTGTCAGGTACGGCTTATATTGAAATCTATTTGAAATCGGATCTTCCCAACTGTCTCCGTCGTGTTAGACAAATGGTCGGGCGCCATTTTGTTTTGTTTTGAAGTCGAGGCTATGCTAGTATGTTTCACGCGCTTTCACAAAAAGGATCTCTTTTTACATAAATCACGTGATACTCTATTCGTTTCCGGTCGCGTCCAGGAATTTGAAAGAAAAGACCCATTGTTACCATCATCAAGGTCGTAAATGGCGCCCCCTGGTTTTATATTTGTTTCGTTTCTAATTTCCACAAATGCGAAGAATGTTTTTAGAAGCTGGTTAGTTTAGGTTTCAAAAGCTAAAACATCGTGGGCCTAGGTTAAGCTAGGGTTTCACTTGTTGAGGAAAAAAGTAATCCGCAGTTTTGTGTGCGTATCTTTCTTAGAAGATTTTTTATTATAATTGGACAATGTATACTTTGTGATACGAAGTTAGAACAATAATAGACTGCTGAAAATATGAAATAAATGCAAATATTAAATTCTATCTTCCTCTCCTTACTTAATTGTAATGTTGGACGTGATTTCCTGCAACCCAAAGATTTTCAGTCCTCAATCTATGTTCTCTCCAAGCTTTGTGATTGTGCGGCCGCTATCTACATACCGCGCAGTTATTTTGTGATTCAAATTACCTTGTATACATTAGATCTATAACAGATCACCGCGAACACAGTATTTACCACAAGTCATTTTGTTATTTAAATTGATTGTTGGTGATGATTTCGGTAGAGACTGTTCTAATGGTGTGTCGTTAATTATAAGTAATTTATCACTTTATGTACCACCAACACCAACTGGTGTCACATTGTGTAGCATCCAATATCGGGCACCACTTCTGCCATCAAAGGTGTCATCACCTTGATATGGTGTCACAGTCAACAGCGCTGCAACCAATATAAGGACACCCCAAGTCGTCATCTTTGGGTGTCACTAGTTTTGTTACGTGTCTCTAATTTTGTTAAGTCTCACAATCAACTGTATTGCATACAATATTGATTAGGACATCCATTAAAACTCAATTGGAGGGGAGGGGGAGTGGCGAAAAGATTATTTCAAGCATCTCTCCGGGTTGGGTTCGTCAACCCTCCCCCTTCATCCCGGAAGTTTCACGTCTGAAAGAAGCCATGCAAAAGACCAACACATAACTGAACATCAACAAATAATTAAATGGCTACACATTTTTACCAGAGATTTACATAAACGACGTCTTAAGAATTTTCGCAACGGGTGATTAAGCGAGTTAGCAATCTTTAACACACACACACACACACACACACACACACAAACATATATATATATATATATATATATATATATATATATATATATATATATATATATATATATATATATATATATATATATAAGTATATATATATAAACATATTTATTTATCTATGTGTATATATATGTACACATACAGCATATTTATTAGTAAATCCGCCAAGACTAATTAAAGGATATAAAAAAGTACTCACTCTTCTTTTTCGGTGTAGGTTTGACGAAAGCTTCCGGCGTGACGCAGACCCCGCGCTCATACCGCGGGAGCCGCGCGCAGTCCAAAGAATCCGGCCAGGACACATTGAAGGAGTTCATGAGTGGCTCACACCCTGCGCGTGCCTTCTCGCAGACGCTCCGGCAGGGCGGGATGGCGTCCGGCTGGAGGGAGACGGCGCAGATGGGGACGTAGATGGAGCAGAGGAGGAAGAGCAGGACGTCACTGCACTTTTGGTCCAGGAGGATTTCGAATTTCTCGAAGACGAGACGCGCGTTTTCCTGCGTGTTGTGGTGCATGAGATTGGGCATCTGGGTCATATTGTACGGCATGGCGCGACAGCGGGGGATTTCGATTGGCTCGCACTGTTCGATGCGCGTGACGAATGCACGTGCGTGTGATATAAATAGAATAACCAGCAGTGCCGGAATAACGCGATATTGAAAGCTCGACATTGTTATAAATTTTTTTAACTTTTCGGTTCTGATGTGTTTTTAAATGTATAATTGTAGCCTAAATTTATATTATATCGTATAAAACTATCTTTCTTAAAAACGAGTCAATCTTGAAAGTTATATTTTCAAATTAAAACAATGCATGACATATCTGTGAAATTCAGTTCAAAGGGCACTCGGTATATATTTTCATTTGAATAAGTGATCACAAATTCCTTAAGTCAATTATTTCTTTATATTAAAACAAATATCCCATCAACCTATTTCAGATTTCAATCTATTCGAACCCATTTGCGTCAGTTTTAGCTATGAATCACTTTCATAGCTGTTGGTGTAGGCTTGGCTTAAACTTTAAAGAATGAATCAGACTAAATGTTTGTAGTGAAAATCAGAAGCACGATGGACCAAGTTACTAGTTTAGCCTGCTCTTGTTTTCCTATTGTTTACCGTGAGCAAAATTCTTCTTCTATAAAACTAAAGTCAATTTTTCGAAGATTATTTTCGTCTACTTTGTACCTTAAGATGTTGAACAAATAATCATGCAGTACAAAATTTGAAAATTTAATCTTGTAGGGCGATTGTTAAAATTCACAGAACAATTAAAAAAAAACGTATTTCGTAACCTTTTTTTTAAAAACACAAATTCTTGTAGAAAAATGTTTTTAAAAAATCACAATGTCTTGTACAACAATAACATATATTGCGTAGTCTGTAGTTCAATTATTAAAAAAATCTCTCGGTTCCGTGTGTAGAAAAATAATTAAACACTTAAATTATTTTCTAATAACACCACAGTCCAGATTGCTTCACGTTATACGCACAAAATAAATAAGAAATAAAGTAGAAACCTCTCCGCTTTATAACCTCCGTATCCTCTCTCATCCAAAACCGAAAATGACCACAAAAAAAAAACAACCCACACACATATAAAAGAAACACCCGCGTAAAAAAATAATCCCACGGCTCGTCGTTTCATTAACAACTGTAGCACGTCTAGCTACAGGTTTTTAATGATCCCCCCACAAAACTACATAAGCCTAAACTTGGTACAAATAAAGTCATTTCACGCCCCCCCTCCCCCTCCCTCCCTCCCCCCCCCTTTAACCTCACCACAACCCACAACTCGCCACGCGTCTTTGAAGTGCGGGTTCACCAGCCTATCAATCACCCGCTTCCCAACACACCCCCCTTTTATTATTTTCAATCGCCTGTCTCCGCCCTTTTTAATCCCTAACCAACATTCGACTTAAAAACCCTTGTTCACGCCACCTCCCCCTCCCCCACCCCTCAACTCCCCCCCCCCGGGTTTTCATATTACACCGCCCCTTGTCGCCTGTACACTACCCGGCGACGCTAGGCATTATTGTCATGTCTTTGAAGTCATGTTGAATATCAAGGTACTAAGGGGGAAGAATCCTGGCACATACCCAGTCCGACACAAGGGGACAAATACTGCATTCATACACAAACATACATGTACATGTACACATATATGTACTTAAGGACATATGGCAAATACAGGCACATGCATAATGTTTATACATACATACACATAATACATATGTAAACAAACATGTAGGCCTACGTAAATACACACACACACACACATATACACACACACATATATATATATATATATATATATATATATATATATATATATATATTTATATATATATATATATATATATATATATATATATATATTTATATATATATATATATATATATATATATATACGCATGTACACATACAAATACGGGCACATACATTATGGTTATAGTACATACATATATATAGGGGGCCTACATATGTACACGAACATGAGATATACATACATACACATACAATATGGACACATGTATTAAAAAGACGTATGAACATATACACGTAGATGTTCACATGAATGTATATAAAACATGAACATTCATGTTTATACATGGGGCTACATGTACAAAAATACATGCACGTACACGTATACATATACACGTAAATACCACGTACACATATAAAAGTACACATACATGTACATAAATACACATACATGTACATAAATACACACGCATGTATACCTCTAAATACATGCGCACACATGTTTACAGATACATGTACATTAACACAATTACATACTTACACATACATGTACATAAATATAGAATATCCACGTAAATACTATATAATTATATACATGTAACACACACACACACACACATTAAAATTTAGCTCTATGCACTGGCAAGCCTATAGAAACAAACTTAAATAATTAGGCTTATGAATATATTGTTTTTTATTTAATTCTATATATCTTACTATACATACATTTTTTTATATCTCCCCACAATTAGTAAATAGTTCTTAATTACTAACAAAAATTCCTAACCCAAAACCTACCCCAATCGTTAAAAACTAAATTTAATTTTAAGTACCAAAAAAATCAAAATAATAAAAAAAAAAAAAGTAATCAAAATGTTTGTTATCGTTATTTAAAATCTGATAAACGGTTCGTATAAACCAAATGTTATCACAATTTGAAAAAAAAAGAAGTAGCCTGCATTTCTCAAGAATGCCCGAAATACTGAGTAGGCGTGGGCCGCTACTAACCATAAATTGTAATTGAATCCATTGTAATGGAATTCACCAGTGTGTAATTCAGCGTTCCATGGGGGGTTTGGAGGTGTCGGGTGGGGGGTGGGGTGGGGGGGGGGGGGTGGGGGAGTAAGACTTGTGGGGGGGGGGGTAGTGAGAAAGTTGGGGCGGGGGAGGAGGGGGCGTTAAAAAAACCCTACTTAGACTTGAATCTGATATTCCTCCACATGATTCTTACTAATTAGGGTATGGTTACTGTTTTAAATAAACATCGGGCTTCGTTACTTAGAATAAAATTATATTTGTTTTAAAAAAATTGTATGACAGTGAAAAGAAAATTTAACGGGTTGGAAGTTATTTGGGTTGTCGTCGTACAAAAAAAAAAGTGGTTGGCATACGTTTCCGTCGAACACTAAGAACATTTTGTGAATGAAAAAAAAAAAATCTATATTTGGTTGAAACTGGTAGGAGACGCGGGGGTGGGGCGCTAAGTGAGAGAGGGGAAGGGTAGGGAATGCTGTATCAGGTTTTATGAATGAACCACAGTTGTCGTTCTCTACTTGTGCACCATGAGAACCCATTGTGTGTATCTGTGAAGTGTAATGTGTTTGGTCCTAATAGACCACCCAGGCAAAAACTTGACGAGATTACGTCCCCTTATTTTTCCTCGTTTCACACTATTTTTGTTACCTCCCTTAATTCAAGCATAGAGTAATCCACAATCGTATATGCGGTATATAAATGATTAGACGATAATGAGTGGGTGTTAAATGAAAGCGCGGAAAGAGAAAAAGTAATAAAAAATAAAAGTGAAGTTCTCATTTTCGAACCTGACGGTCCATGGTGCAAGTGAAGTAGAGTTCACCAGTTTCTGTGACCTCGGCATTTAAAAGGATAATGTGGTCAGCACTATGCCCAAATGCTTTTATTTCCCCAACGTAAGTTAGCCCTTCGATACTTTAGTCTATTGATCTTCGATGCAATACTCTATTGACCTACGATACCATACTCTATTTTAAGTTTGATATGATACTCTATTGGTCTTCGATACGATACTCTATTATGACTTCCATACGATTCTCTATTAACCTACGATACAATACTCTATTGGCATAGGATACGATACTCTAATGGCCTTCGATACAATACTCTATTTTGCCTTCGTTACAATACTCTATTTTGCCTTCGATACGATACCTAATTTGCCTTCGATACAATACTCTATTTTGCCTTAAATAAAATACCCATTTGAACATCGATACAATGCTCTATTGACCTTCGATGCGATACTCTATTGGCCTTCCGATACCATACACTACGGACCTAACGGTTAACACCCAACTTCTTTAGAAGTTCCTACGGTAACCTAATCCAATGTGCGAGCTCATTAAACGTAACTTGTGGGGGGCACGCTGAAAAGATTTACCCCTTTCTTTAATTGCTTCAGGTGAAAGTCTCCCCGGCGCTCGCAAGGTGACGTCATGTCCCCACCCCCATTGTTCCTTCATCTAACGGTAAGGTCATTTTTCGGCCATTCGAGAACGTAAGCACAGATCCTGTTACGTCAACTATTCCACACTCCCTGATAATCAAACACCAACGTCTGAATTTTTGTATATAAATTTAAGATAAATTCTCGTGAAAGTTTTGTATGTATGTGGTAAATTTGACTTTATAATGAGAACATAACATGTACTTGTATTTTCATAGATAGACTCTAGTCGAAGCCGGAGAATGTTTTACAAAACGCGAGATGTTTAAGCTAACGAGAGTTTGTTTAGTGAAGTATTACTTTAGTAGCATGTCGGACTCGTGGGTGGTGTCGTCGAGCCGCGAGACGCGAGGTGACAAACCATCTTCAAAAACCGGAAGTACTTGAGATCGAATATCGCCGATGAGTCGGGCCGGTGTGTCGTCATTGAGTCTAGCCACAACGGGCGGGGAGTGGTGTTGGGAGAAGGTGAAAATCGAGCAGGGCAGGGGATGTGCGATAGTTAGGGGATAGGGTGACACGGAATTTTAATTATTTTTTTTTTAAATCGCGTGATTTTAAAAAATTGTAGTTGGGAGGCAGGGGGTGTGGACTGTTCGGGTGATACCATTTAAGGGAGTGATACCGAAACAAAAATATACCTTATTTTAATGACAAAGTTTTCTTTAATTAATTCAACATCCAATTAAAGTTACATACGTAATTACATGCGTTTACACTTGTGACATGTATACTACTGTTTATTTGGGGAAAAAAAAGCTCGCTACAAGTAGATGTTATTAGAAAACATTTTTTCCCCCACGGGTCTACTTGTTGCGAAGTTTTCTTTGCTAAACATGTATGCCATACATGTCGCCATGTAGAGTATACAGATTGCAAGGGTAAACGCGGAATTAAACATGGACACTATACAGGATGGGA